ATTAAATTATTCTAAAAGAAAAATAATAATATAATTTTTATATAATAATAATATTTCAGAGTAAATAATAATGAATATTACTAAATATTACAATATTCAAGGAATTTAGCCTTATAAAAAACTAATAAGCAACTAAATTAATAGAAATATCAAGTTTAATTTCTCTATATGAACATAATTTAACTAATTTAGCATAAGAAATTCAATCTATTAACTCATTTTAAGAAATATAATCTATTAATTTATCTTAACTTATTAATTCATAAACTTAAGTAATTCATTTAGTCAATATAGATCAATTAAGTTCTATTCAAAATCTTGATAATATGCATGCGAAAAAAATTAAAATAAAGTATTTAACTTTTATAATTGTCATTTTTCAAATGTTATATTTAATTTTAAATAGAGAATTTTTATATAAAATGGAAAGAATAACTTTTATTATTGCTTTAAATTAGTATTTCTTATTTATATAGCAAGTTTATTTACATGCTTATAATATGATATATGGCTAATATTTGTAACTAGAATTTATAATTATCAATAAATTTTATATTAAAATTCCCATAGCAATTGCAATATTATCAGTAATTACATGAGCGATAGATTAGTAAACATGAGGTATATTATGATATTGTGTTATTCTTTAGGATATTATACCTATTATTCACTTTGAATAGTTAGTTTCGTTATTTTTATTAACAGTTTTGCGAAAACGATTGTTTTTCTTTTATTATTATCTTTTTAAATGCTTATCTTTACAGACGATAATGACACAGCCTCTAGAATCCATTCTTAGAGTCTGACAATCCGTTACTTTTAGTTAGTATAGTGTTAGTCTTTCCCAACCTAATATTGTTATAGTGAACCCACTTACCGAAATACGTAACAATAGAAAAGTAATTTATGAAAGAAAGAGATAGTGTAATGATAGATCAGACAAGCATTAAGAGCAGAAAAATGAGATTTTACATGAGAAGACCTTTTTTTGTATTATGTATATAATAAACTTTTTAGTTTTTTTCCTCGCAAAAATCTTAGATTAAAAAATATTCTTAGTTTTCTAATAATCAAATTGAAAAATATAATGAACTTAAATAATAGTGATATATGTAGTCTGCGCGTTTATTTATAAAATATTAGGGCACACTTATAGTCCCCTTTCACCAATGTAATCACTGATATTATTCAATATCAATGTCAAGAATAATACCAGTGCTTTTGGAGGGTAAGCAATGCATTAAATACGTTTAAATTGGCTCGAACAATTATCTGATTGAATATCGAATTAAAAATTAAATTAGAACCCAATATATATTTAAAATCAATCGAGTAATACTAACCAATACCTAATTAAAATAGCTATTTCGTTGGACTTGAATAGAAACAGCAACAGATTTTAATAAAAAAGATTGAATCGGATAAAAATAAACAATTCATACAAAATATAATATCAAACTACGGATTAAATAAAAAAATTAGTAAATTCGTAATTCAGAATTTACAATTAACAACATAGTTTTTTTTGATATTATCGTAAATTTCGCATGATACAATACAAAATAAATTCAATAAATAACAGCGAAATTAGGTAAAATTGTGGTGAATAGATTCTCTAAATTATAAAAAAGTTCGGCAGCATAATTAGACAAATTTAATAACGATAACATAAAAAAATCGGTTAGCTTTAATTTCCGAAAATTTAAATTTAACCTAAATTATAAACAAAAATTATCACAAATCAAACAAAGCTGATCGTGATGCAAATAATAATTTAATTCTAGCAGACATTTAAGCATAAAGAAAAACTTTATACACTTCAATATTACTAATTTTTTAAAAATATAATTAAAAATATTAATAATCTAAATTAATAATAAGTGTATACATAATAATTATTTGTATGATAATGTATTAAATTTAATTAATTAAATATATGAATAATTATCTATATATTCAATATGAAATGATCTTTAAAAAAAGTAATATAGAAGCTAATCTATTATACAGATAGTAAGAAAAAGTCAAGCATCCATATAAATTTAAATCAGAAAAGTGGATTATTATTTTTTTTTTGTTAAACTTTGATTTTGGTGATATAGTAGTAAAACAGATAGAAAGAAATAAAGGAAATTTTGTTAGTTTGGGTTGTTATCGTTATAATAAGTAACTTTCGATATAAAGAAATATGTATCAAGAGTGAGTGGCACTGAATTTTACATAAAGCTTTGACGGTATTGCGCATTTTTATTTTCTGATATAATCTTTAGTCAATTGAGAATTCTTTCTGTATCGATAGTTTGGTTCATTTCATTAACAATATTATTGCGCGTCAATAATCAGGACACCAGATAATATTTGTCAAAAGTAAAGCTTATTTTAAATAAACTCCGGCCTCTCACTTTGAGTAATCTATTGTCATACATAATTCTGGTCAGAATTAGCATAATACGCCAAGATCATAACGATAATAGTGTGAACTGATCACATATCTGTTATAAAAATCTTAAGGCTATCCAAAAATTGGACCTTACTAAAATTATTATCGTTATGAAATTAATTTTTTTCTCACTTATGGTTTTATACAATCACATGTAATCACGATAATGCAGAAAATCTGTAATCTTTTCACAAACATGTTAATAAACTTGTTCAAATATCGATACGGGTTCTTTTCTTTTTGAGAGATATAACAAATAGATTCACGTTTTATTTGTGTACAAGCCTATATATAAAGAAGTGGCTGGTATTGTCTCAAACCCTATTCTCAAATTTAATCAAAATACTCAGAAGCATACCTGATTTTGTAGAGGTATGACCCGAATTTGGTGGCAGAACAAGAGCGTCTCTTTAAATGCAAAAAAAAAGGGTAAATTTAAAGCTTATTCCAATAATTGATAAATAGATAAGGAATATGCTTGTAAATTTGATGTGTCTGAAAAAAATGGGAAATAAATTATTTGAAAAAATCTGACAGGTCAGTAAAAGGGCTCTTTTTACGGGACTCTCTTTACAGGCGCATAAGAGCAGGAAAATGTAGGACAAACCGATTTTTGCATGTTTGTAAAACACACCTAAAAAGTCCCTTTTACAAGTCCATCAGTAGCGAGAAGCTTACAACTAAATGTGGTAATTCTATATAAAAATCAGATTTGGGAACTGAATTTCTATTGGGAATTCGGTTTGTGTAAATGGTTTTGTCTAATAAAATGTTGATATCTAAAAAGGCTTAGCGCGAAAGTGAATTTTTTTCATGGTTAATCTAAATTTCATTGAATTGCTTTTTCTGTGATTTGTTAAACCAATGTGTATGTACATGATATTCGATGAAAGATGACACAAAAAGATTTATCGAGTAATATTCTTTAAAGATTAATTATTAATTACGATACATTATATGAAAATATCGATATATAGTTCGCACATAGAGTTCCATATCTGGTATATCGATTTCATGAACTTTACAACGATAGCCGCCACAAAGTTATCAGTTATCGTCATCAGTTATCATTTAGGATCAAAGTTCAACACGAATTATGCATTCATTAGTACCAATCATTATTTGTGTTATTTTCGTTCAAAAATGTAACCCTCGTAAATGAACTATGTTGGGGTAATGTTGCAGCAAATTAATGGTGAATAAGGTTTAAAACCATTTACTGCATTTATACTCATAAGGAAGGAAGGTTTGGTGTCAAAGAAACATTTCATAATAAATTAATCCTGTTAAATCAAATATACTTAATGTATTTTAATACTTCGTCATGTATAGAAATTCGGTTTTTGTTTAACTAATCATTTGCCTCGAGACTAAAAAAGTAATTGCTGAAATGTGTAAAATAAAAATCTTTGAATCGTGTGACAATTTGGCAGAAGCATTCGTGCATATAATTAAATTATTTTTGCATTGCTACGTTCAAAAACGAGCTATATAATTTTTAATTCAACCTAAAAAACTTAATCCGATTTCTTAATTAGATTTCATTCATCATTCACGCTTTCATTAACGATAATGGTAAATGACCACTCAGAAACTTAATCTAGACACAAAGCATGCGGTGATTTTTGCTGTAATAATAATGATTGAGGTAGATCTTGTATTAATGGGGAATATAATTAGAAAGTGAAGTTTTCAAATTACCCAGCCCTGGGAAAAGTCACTGATATGTATCTCCGCAGCACTATGCCCAGAACATTGTGTGAAAAAGATCATTGAGTAGTTTTAGGTAGTTTATAACATGTTATCACAACAGAATGGTTCAAGAAATGGATTAACAATCAAATTGACGTCTCACAAGTAACTATACTTGGTAAGTTGAACTTTAGTGACAGTTTTAGGTGATTTGTTTTTGTATAAGAATTTTTATTATAGCAATAGGATTGCCTAATAAAATGATTACTATTCACACGATAACGATAATATTACAACGATAAAAATGAAATGAATGGATATCTACATATTTTTCATATAGGTATTTTTTTATCTATCATTGCTATTATATAACAATGTAGAACTCGAATAAACGGAAATAACAATAGTATATAGGCGGTATTAAAAGACTAACTAGTTAGATAATTAATATGTATGTATAAGATAATATATAAATGATGTATGTATGTATGTATGTATATATAATATATGTGATGATGGGGATAATTGAAATGAGTTAAAAAAAATAAAGCTTATTTTTTGATTTATAGAAAATATGATTATAAAAAAGACTACGTCTATATATATAAGTGCCTATAGAAATGGTGATAATGATATCCATTTGGCAGACCGAAACCCTGAATGGATGACGTTGTCATGAAGATGAAAAAGATATTCTTATGTAATTATGAAATATTAAAAATGAATATATGTATATAGAAATAGATAGATGGATAGATATAGATATTATTGATGATTAATTATTAATAAGTGTGTGTGTTTACGAAGGATGAGGAGATGAATGGTGATGACCATGATTAATAGTAATCAAAAGATTGTGATTTTTCCATCATCGTGTCATTGAATTCGTCCTTCGTCGTTTATTACGTATAACTAGATTTTTATTGGGTTGTGGATCATTATTTAGGATAGCTTCAATAGACATTTTCGCTTGAATACGTGTTGACTCGGTTCGTTGTTCGCTATACCAGAAATTCCGAATCATTAGGGGGGTGCGCCCTCGCGCCGGTAACGTTTTAGCTATTAGCGCCCATTTGGGACCCATTGCGTCGTACAAGCGAAGTATCATTTGTTTCTCCTCATCACTTAACGGATCTTTGTTAACTGGAAGGCAAAGAGAGGGAGGGATATCAGTTAAAAATGGCCGTGTATGAATAAATGAAATAGATGCAAAAGCAGATTTAACACTCACGTTTTGGATCCAAGTGATTCACCCATCTATCATGTTTATCAGAAATTAATTTGTTAGGCGTGATGGTAAGAAGAAAATCAAAAGTGTTAATGTGCCTAAATAAAAAAAAATACCTTTCGCGAATTTGTTTGTAGCTGCGAGTTTCTTTAAGAGCGAGAGAGATTAAGTGCCATTGTTTATCATAGATCGAAAACAATTCCTGCAATCTTTTATCTTCCTATATATTGTTTCGAAGATTGACGACACGTAAGTACGCGCGCGTTAAGCAATGGGAAACGAAAGCGGGAAATCATACCTCTTCAGACCATGGTCCAACAATATATTCAGGCTTTTTTGTGGTATTTGAGTTGTGGTTTTCGTTTTTCATGTTGTTGGTATAATGGTGATTGTGTTTGTTGTTGACATTATGGAGGTTATTATTGATATTGTTAATATTAGTTTTGTTGGTCATTGTAAATTTTTTCATGATGTCAAACTCTTTATCGAAATGGTCGTTTCGTCGAGGTTTATGTTGTGGGAAGTGTGTTTAGAAAGAAGAATTGGAGAAAGAGGCGCGCGCGCTGGTAAATGTAAAGAGAAGTGATTTTTTTTTCTTTGTTATAACCTTGTGTTGTTGAATTTGTTGAAAGTAATTGATAAAATACGTGTGAACGAAACGAAAAGAATTTGAATTTTTTGAACTTTTTGGTTATTTGATTTCGTTGCTTTGCGCTTATTGCAATTTGACGTACTCCGTTTCGTTCAACGTTTTTTTCGTTACGAGAGTTTAGAAGAATTAGAAATTGGTGATGATGGTGGAGTTGTTGTTGTTGTTGAATGTGGAACGGTTTTTTTGGCGGTTTTATTTATATCTATCCGCTCTGAAAGTTTTTTTTTTTTCGTGCAGTTAGGGAATCGTCGTGTCGCTATTACAATAAAAATTATTAAAACTATATAATATTTATTATTATTATATTATAGTATATTATATTATACATGTGAGTAATATAAGTGATATGATATTGATATGCGTAGTAACTGGATTTAGAAATCAATAGATTTGATAGTTATCACAAACTAACGTTACGTATTATCAATATTAAACAATAAAATTGTTAGAAGAAAAAAATCGCGACATCATCAATGCTATATTTTTGGCGTTCTCATATTTTTCAGTAAATTCACTCGCATTCTCTGTTCACTAACCTCAATTTTTTTTATTTGCGTCATTATACGTGCAGTTTTCAACAAGATAAAGCACATATATGTTTCACCAGAATTATATGTATATATATATATATATATATATATTAACACGTCAAATACTATCATGAATATTCTCATCGGTGGTGGCGTTTCCTAAGATCAAAAAAATTCAAAGTTTTTTTTAATGTATAAAGTAAAAAAAAATATATGTGCATATATATATATATATATATATATTATCACTATTGACAATTATTCCGTCCCATCGATTGGCAAGAAACGGTTTTGGTGTGTGAATATTATCTCTGGAAATTATTGTCATCATCATTATTGCGGATGTGTGCATATATGTGTGTAAAAATGAAGTGATTGTTGTTCAATAGTTCGTTACAATATTAAATGAACTAAAAAAAGTGTAGTTGGTTTTATGCGTGAAAAAATCTTTGTCCCTGTCTGCCCCTCTTTGATTTTGGTTTTTTCTCAATCAACCAACGCATGAATGTCAATTGCATGGATACATACATATTTTTTTCATGCATGCAGAATGCTGCATTACGGTAGATCTAGCAAAAAATTTTTATCATTGTTTGATTCTGTGGTGGCCAATGTTGCGGTAGGTGTCAGCAGACACACATGCAAACTTCGAGGAGAAAAAGATGCTGGTCGATGTGTAGGTGACCATCTTCTTTCAAAATCGGGACCAACTTTCCCCCGAATATACACCCCGCATTAACTTACCTTTGAATTATTAATGAGATGAAGCTATCTATATAGCTATCTGCTCACGCTGCAAAATTTATTATGTTCCGGGAATCTTTTCTGGTGATGTTTGGGGAAAATGTGCAGCAGTGGCGTTGTAAAACTAATCATAATACGTTGAACTTTATCTGTTCTCCTTTACAATTTCTTAGCACTTTTACATGCTTATTACATTAGTGCATCTTTTACGCCAGTCCAGTCTCGCTTCTTTTTTTATTTTTAATTATTCTTTGCCATCTATCTATCTCTCAAAGAGAGAACCTCATTTAACGGGTAGTAGTAGTAATCGTGTATACCGCAGCGGCATACGTTTGAAATATTCGATGATTTCTCCAAATGAAACCAATTGTTTACGTGTGTCGTAATTGTTGATGGCACGCTATTCAGAATAAACAGGCTTTTTGGATATTGTAATGTTATACGCGATTATTGTTATTTGTTTTTTAATGTTCAAGAAAAAAGTCGTATTCGACAAAAACCGTTTTGAACAACCAAACTGTGATAATAATACGACCAATGAAATCAACTCGTAAATGACAACAATGGTAGGCACGAATACGACGTCTGTGTGCAAGAATCCATTATTTCTGCTTGAATCTTGTGAAAATGTGTGACGGGAAACCGTTTATGGTCAGTAATAGTAATTAAATGAAAAAAAATTATGTGTATGAATAGAATATACCTGTATAAAACATTATGACAAAGAATTTCTGTTGCCTTCACCCCGCATAAATATGCAAATACGTGCAGATTATAATAAACCGTGACACAGATAATTTTTCTTTCATCTCTTTTTGTTTCTCTCGTACAGTATTATTATTTTTTATTCTGTAAATGAACTGAATCGGGAAAGTACAAAATGAAAATGAAACTAACCAAAAACCATTATTTTCGAGCGCATTTGCCATTACCGTATGCAGTCAATTAATTTTGCGCGCTATTTGTAATAATTCATTGGTTTTTTGGGGGGGGACTTCCATCTCTCTGCTTGCTGCTCTTCAAAGACCTAACAAAAAAACTTTGTAAACCTTATCATTTGCTTATCTGCTTCACTTTTCAGACCAAAAAATCTGACAAAATAGGATGGAGGATTCTCTTGTGCTAGACCTCAATTGAAAAAATCCGTTTTTTATATCGGGTAGGAATATATTATATATTATTATTATTATTTTTATTATTATTATTATTCCTATCATTCATATATCATTCATTATATTTCATAATTATTATTGGAAGGGAAGGCCATTTGCCATTGTTATGACATTGATATCTGCGTTATTGTGAAACCAGATAATAAATAATGCACAGGACTATGTGATACAAATTCATCACAATGGTTATTGTTTCATTACATTATTCTTTCCTTTAATTAATCACTCGAGATATTTTTTTTCGGGTAGTTCTTTTTGCTTGTGATACACTCTGTGATACGTGAACGGTTTTTTTCCATTCAAAATTTTTGGCTTTTTAAGCAGGCTAGACCTACTTTTTATCCAAGTATATAAACAGATGGTTATAATACCTAAAATTTAGTAAATACATCGATATAACTGATATAGTAAATGGTGCACAAAAAAGAATTTAAGTTTATTCAATGAAAAACATAAAAGTCAATAATTACTTCTGAAACATTCGTTCCTGCATAACTATCCTCAGTATCATATTTTCGATATGAAAATGAATATGAATATTTATTACTGTTATTTTTACTATTTAATATTTTATGCTATGGAAAATGTTATCTATTAGTTACCTATCATATGATCAAAGGAAGGTGGTAAATTAATGCGAGGATACGCCTTTCTATTATTATCAAAGAACTTGCTATTTCAAGAAATGCGTAATATAATAATAATAATAATTATTATCATTATTATTATTATTATTATTATTATTATTATTATTATTATTATTATTATCATCATCATCATCATAATCATCATAATCATCATCATCATCATCATTATTATTATTATTATTTTATTATGATTATTATTTATTATTATTTATTATTATTGTTATTTGTAAAAGCTACAGTGTAAAGATAATGGCTATTATTATAATATATGAATTTACAAACCAAAATGTCAAATATTCTCATATATACTTGGTTCATTTGCTCATTTTTGTTTGAATAACGTAAGTTTCGGCAGGCAGACATCAGGCAATTTCACAATAATCAATTTAGGCAGTTGGCTTCTCCCTCTCTATGAACACTACGTAAAAAGATTCTCAATCATAAATGACTTTCTAAAATTTATTTATGTCTATGCGAGAAGGTGGCGTCATCTCATCATTTGCTTTTTTTTCTAGAGTATGGGTCATATGCTGACTCACACATAATTGGCTTCTCGATTAATCTTTCGTGACCTTCTGTTTTTCGTGTGACAACCAATAGTAGAGAGCTACGTGACAAAAAATTGGTACCAGGAACTATCCGAGTAAGTGAACTCATCAATCAAATTTTACGGTTTTTTAATACGTTGATAATTGGGTATCTCATTACGTAACCAATACTCCGTTCCCAACGAGAACTAAAATCAACAATTACGTGTTAAACTCTAAAAGATTCCATTTTTCCTTAATGGTTTTTCTAATACTTCAGAGGTAAAATATCATTTCCATCAACTTTACCTATGCCAAAAAAGCTTAATAAAATTTTCCTTCGATATAGCGATTTTATAACAGAACGATATTTTTGCAGAATTCTTTTTTACCAATTATTCCAAGCAGGTAGTATTCTATTGAAAACTATGCACCAAACAAAAACCATATAAACAATCTCACGTGAAAATGTTGATCATTGAATGAATGAATGAAACAAACATTTGCACGCGACTTCAAATTTTCCACGGAATAATTATCGAAAATTCCATTTGGACAAACTCGATAGTTTACAAGTACTGTGCCTCTGAATTCTTAATCTTTGAAGTCGCTCGATAAATATAAAGTGATCGATAGCATATACCAGTATTATATCGATATACTGTCTAAACGTATTATAATAATTATTTAAGTAATAGTAATAAATAGATTGTAATGTGCATGAAAAACAATAAAATAACCATCTCCATTATCAGAACAAAACCCCATGCTGTTGAGAGCAAATTCCTCTTCATTCAGCAATTTCCTAATAAAGGTTAGCTCTGTGTTCATGCGAAAGGAGAGACATGCGTTAATAAAGAGCGTATGCATCGTTTTTTATTAGAAGTACTTTTGACTAAAGGAAAGATATTTTGACAAACTGATAAGAAATGCAGGAGATAATGAAGAATTTTAGAAACTCGAAACAAAATTGCAGAACAAAAGAGATGGAGTCTATATATGTTTAAGTGCGAAAAAAAACAGGGTGTTTATGAAGTTTATGACATTTGAATCCCATTTGAAAATGGACCCTCATCAAAGAACTTAAATAATGTCGCTCATTTAATCTCAAAAAACCGTGTTAAATTACTCTTATATCAATTCTGAATTTCACTTTCCTGGATTCACTTTCTTTTTGTTTTTCACCTATATTCGGCAATTTAACCAATCAACATACAATTTCTTTAACGTTCAAAAATCAAGAGTTGATATATAATGAGTTTCCATAGAACTAAAGGTCCCTGGAGCGACGAGGTATTAATTATTTTGACTGTAATTCTCTTATTTTAATTTGAATCGATATTAATCTGTCTTCTAAATAATCAAGGAGGATAGATTATTAAGAAAATATCATAAAAGATACGATGGGAACTACAAAAAGATTGAGAAGGCTATGAAGCACAAACGGGATTCTAAGCAAATACGCGAAAGGTAAATTGATTAATTACTCAAAATGCCTCTTATATGTTCGTATCTGTTCGCATGATTATAATTTTTTGATTTTTTTGTTAGGTGGGTTAGACATTTGGATCCAAACAGTTAAGCAAATTTCTTACTTATATTTAGCTTATTTAGCATTGATCGATTCTTTTTTTAAACTTTTAACATTGATATTGCAATTAACAGTCGATCATTCACCAATTACCGAGGAAGAGGGTGTTAAAATAATGGCTCTTGCAGTTTCTTTAAAAAGGCAATGGACCCGAATTGCTGAACACCTTCCTGGACGATCTGATCGAATGATCAAAAACTATTATTCGCAGAAAAAGTCGAGTACAAATAAGATGGATTTGAAATTTTTAATCAACTGATCTAGCGATTCCACAATACTGTACTGTATACTCGAAATATTGTAAAT